GGCGTAAAGCTATACTCACTCACTCTTTCAGAATTAAGTGAGTATGGCATTGATAAAAAATTCATGAAAGCTCCAATTACTGTTTTTATTTCAAATTACAGTTTTTTTCTTGTTGGAGCTGTAACTGTTTTCTCTTAAGTATTTAAATCAACAATAATTATCAATATAGCTAAGACTTAGACAATTTAAAATAGCATTTAACATACATGTAAATAGTTTGTGTTTTTGAAATGCACCTCTTTGGGAATTGCCAGAATCCTGAATTGGCTAGCAGTAATATTTAACATGGCGCACTGTACAGGTACGGGTGGGTCGTGTCGCATCCATAATGTAAATCTGAAACAACATCGCTTGGCAACTTAAGCAAAACTCAAGTCCGTCTTTGGTTCTTCTTGTTGACCTCACCTGGTTTGCAAGTTTAAAAAGGAAGTGAACTCATACTAGTAACTATAGTAGTGTATGGCTAAAAAGTTTGACATTTGACATGTCATACAATCATTTCTAAATGACCTATATTAGTTCAGTCAAAATGTGACAAAACCCCAAACAATTGGTACAGAAATGATTTGAGTGTTTTCACCATGTTTAGACAGACAGACAGACACACATTTTATTTCAGTAATGTAGGCCATTGGCCCATAATACAACATAGAGCAAATATAAAGAATACATACATGCTGGATATAGGATAACGATTGGAATGCAGGGTCAATTAGTTGTAGTAGTGGGTTTACTTCTTAGTTTTAATACAGTGGAGAGGAATGTAGTTAATAGTTTTAGATAATTTATGTTGTTGCAAGTAATTAAACGCACAAAGGTTTCAATTGTTGGAGGGTGGGTCTTGTGGGTTGTGAAAGACTTATTTCTTATTTCAGAATATTTGTCACAGATAAGTAGGACATGGAGCTCGTCTTCAACATAGTTTAGGCCAACAGAGTGGCAGTAGAGGCAGAGACGTTGATCATAGGGTGTATTTGTGTGACGACCGGTTTCCACTGCTAATCTAAAGTTGTTACGGCGGAACATAGCCATAACTTTCCTTTGATATGGAAGGAGGTCACAGGACAAGTAGTGTTCAACATTAAGTAAAGATTTAAATTGTGAATAATATTTACATTTAGATGAAGAGTCAAGTGAGGAACGCCAATTTGAAGGAAGCAGTCATAAAATCGCTGCTGGAAGATGGATATAATGTTTTAATGCAGCCAATTTCTTGTGAGATCCATACAAACCGCAAAGGATTTGTCTTATGTGTGAAGCCCAGGTAGATTTATTATAATCATCAAGAGATTTGAGCATTTGGTAGGCCTGATAAGGAAGTCTTGTTTAAGTTTAAGTTGTAACTAATGAGTATTAAAAAGTTCTCTCTTGAAATATGATGCGAAGTCCTATTTCTGGGGGTAAAAAGTTTAAAAATTGAAATCTTCAGTAAATAATTTTTAAAATCTCATATTGAGACACAAATTAACCTTTTTATATATATTTTCAAAGGGTACACAATGTACTACTAATAGATGAATTAGAAAAGTCAGATAATATTATCAGAAGTCCTATTTTGGGGTAAAAAGGTAAAATATTGAAATTTTCAGAGAATATTAAAAAAAATTCATATTGAGACACAAATGTACTTTTTATGGATATTTTCCAAGAGAACACAAGGTATTACTAATACATGGGTTATATAAAAGTCAAATGGATGTATGCTAAATCCTATTATGGGGTAAAAAAATGAAAAGTTAAAGTTTTCAGAGAATAATGTTTAAAATCTCATACTGAGACCCAAGTGTACTTTTATATGCATATTTTCAAAGAGCACACATGGAACTACTAATACATGGACTGGAAAAGTCATAACTTGAATAAAACCATAGATAAAAGGCTTTTCAGAGCATATATCTTCTATTTTCAAGGGTAAAATAAACACAACTTCAGGAACATGCAATTTAGTTCCTCTTTTTGCCATATCAAAGTTATGATTAATCTCAAAGGGAACTATCCTCTATAAATATGGAGAAGCTGTTATATCTCTAAAACTAACACATATTCATTCATAAACTTTGAACAGAGACAGAGATCAAGTTATGAACTTGAGCCGTGTGCTATTTTAAGATGTTGAAATGTGTATTTATTGTTTCCTTGGGAATACGTTTGACTTTGTCCATGGTAGTATACTTGAAGCGGCTATATCCAAAGCCAATAGGAGTTTAACTAAGAAACTAAGTGGTGCCTTTGCTCTCCAGGTATTTGTCCATGACACTAGGTTTAGGTTTACTAAAAGAAGAGTGTATTTATTGCTTAAGACTGTAATCAATATTTTTCTGCTGTAACCTCATGGAACCGATTGAAGTACAGAGGACAAATTCTCATAGTAAATCCATTACAGTGTCCCATGTTGAGCATACAGTAAGTTGAGCAAATACAGCTTTGAGTCTGGGATTCATGTTGATCGTAGGCACGAAGGTGACATAACTCAATACTGAGAATGATACAATTTTAGTGATTCATTTTATGTTCTACATGAATTGTTCAAGACATCAAGCAATTTGATTCAGCATCTCCGTAACATACGAACCCATGACATATGAACCAATCCCTTTTAGCGCATCAACACCTCAGCATTCTTGGCAAACAGTCGCCTAATTGGCGAAAACGTCATCGGTATGCGTTAATACATGTTCTCAGATTGATCTACATTATCTGTTGCAAATTGAATGAACTGACCCCGTGTTCACCCATTTCAGGAAGCGTTGCACTTAGCTCCTTCTTCTGTAACTAGAGATTGTAATAATGAACAAGATATTTATTAACATATCGGTTGGCTTGAACTATAGTGATGGTGACCCTGAACACCAAGGGGTTGACAGAGATACCCTTGGTCTCATAGTCTGTATATTTGAATTAATTTTGAGTAGTATGCTTGGTGACAATGCTATTCCAAGCAAAACTTAACAGTAACAGAAGATTTTCTGAGTAAAGGCATTCCAATAATTTGAAGGGTTGTGTTCAGGCTAACTTGAATATTTGAGATCAGGTTGGGTGAGGTGATTTGATTCAGCGGTGCTTGCAATAGTTTTTTTACTTACCGGTACATTGAATTGTACATGATTTCATGACAGTTACCCCCAACGACATGTAATACCTCTGTCAGTGAGAGATCTTTTCGTTTTCCTGAGCAAAATTTAAAGATGGTTGATAAACAAGCATGCACCACCTACTATTTAAGTATTTGAAATACTTAAAGTATTTGTCCATTAGTTATTTCAGTTTCAAAAATACCAATATTATTAAAAAAAATTACTAGCAGTAAAAAAGGACAATACTGGTTGTGCTTTCAAAACCTTTCTAGAGCTTTGATCAAGTAGCCCAGCACCCGTGAAGATCCAGTTTAGAATTGATCTTCAGTAACCCATGCTTGTCGTAAGAGGCGACTAATGGGATCGGGTGGTAAGGCTCGCTGACTTGGTTGACACGTGTCATCGTATACCATTTGCGTAGATCGAAGTTCATGCTGTTGATCACTGGATTGTCTGGTCCAGACTTGATTATTTACAGACCGCCGCCATAGCTAGAAATTGCTGAGTGCGGCGTAAAACTAAACTCACTCACTACAAGGAGCCTAAGTTAATGATTTTTCCAATTTTAAGAAAAAAATGTTTTTCAGTAAAAATATGTGTTATATATCTAATTTATGTGAATCAGTTTCAAGTTTTTCATGACGATTTCAGTCCGTTTTTTAAATGTTGCTGAGATTTCAAATCAGATAAAAAAAATACCGGTTATACTACAAATAGTTGCAAGGGTTCACTCAATTCTGCTCACATGAGGGGGCGGCGGGGATGCCTAATGGTTCAAGCGTTCACTCGTCATGCCGAAGACCCGCGTTCGATTTCCCACATGGGGTACAATGTGTGAAGCCCCCGCCGTTATATCGCTGGAATATTGCTAAAAGCGGCGTAAAAACATACTCACTCACTCTGCTCACATAATAATGTGTAGTTGCCAGTTAAAGTTAACAAATGTATCCTTCTCTCTTCAGTTCTGTTTAATCTTGATACAGAATGTCCCATTTATCACCAAGGTACGTAGTCTTACACGACCGCAGTGCATATAGTTCTGTGGGCTAATTATGGGAGCAGAATCACCTCAGTCCTCCTCATCTCTTTCAATTGCAGCTCTTAGCTGTCTTTTTAACCCATTATCTATTTGGCTAACTATAGCCTCATCTAGTTAGAGTTTTATAAAAGATATAACTTTTATTTTCCATTCTGCTACTTCAAGCTATTGTAATCAAAGGGGAGATAACTCTCATTTATTTGTTTCCAGTGTGCTTGAGTGTCCAAAATCCAAGTTCAAACCTCATGTCATTTGTTTTCAGTATTAATTTCATTATTTACTATTTTGTACAATTCCGTTGCATGTTTTGCAAGATTTTATACCATTTTGTGGTTTTCATAGTTTTGGCCCCCAAAAAGCCACTTATCTATCATCAACATCCAAGGGAGGACTTTTTATATATTGCTTACATATCTATATTAAACGATATAAACACAAAACCATTTCTGTACCAATTTTTTGGAGGTTCAGTGTTTTTCCCCACTAATTTTACTGGACTATATAACTGAGGGCTGTAGGGCCATTGGCCTCACTTTATAGAAATGCTTGAATGAACACTGCAGTGGGTCCAACCTTGCCCACATTATGCCCCTTGGAATGTCAGAACAATGCTAAACGTTTCTGAAACCATACAAATTCACGTGAATGAATTAAACATAAAAAAACCCTATTCGCTAACCATTTCGCACACACATTTTATAAACATTACTGTGAAAGGTTTATGAAAAAGGTTCTAAAACGTTTCTGGAACCATACACATTTACCTGAAAAACTTTTCTGGGACATTTCGTGAAATGTTTTTATCACTTTGCGTTAGCTTGGTAGTTTTTGAGGTGAACCAAGTAGACTTGGGCGTGGCGAGAGAGGTCACGTGATGTGACCTAATTTTAGCTTTCGCAGGGGAGCGTGTGTTGCGAAGAAACACTGATTGATTTGCCCTGATAACAATATTTGTGGACATTTTTAATAACCAACCGTGTGTATTAGTACATGGACTTATACTTTGTAACAGACATCAGATAAAATAACAACGGAAGAAAAGGGAAACAAGCCAAGTCAGACATCAGGTAAAGCCCGCTCGAACGCCCATGACATATTTAGTGTTTCCATTGGTATTTCTCAGTTTTGACTCAGCAGTTTAAGATATATAGGTATATTTTGACTGTTTCACCTTCATTACAAAGATAATAATAACAATTACTGAGGGTCTGGTAACTTTAATGCAACACCTATATTGTACAGTATGTACAATATAGGCATAGGCGGATCCAGAGGGGGTGCGCACCCCCTTTGTCCTGAAAGTTTTTAAAGGTCACATGCAACGTAAAATACAACTTTGCAGATTCTGATACCTTTCGGTATGGACTTACCGAAACAAATCGTCAAAAATGCAAATTCAACTTATAAAGTTGAAAAATAACGCGATGAAAAAAAACCGCGTGAAATCGGAGTTCAAACGTTTCACTAAATTTCCCCCGACTTTTCTGGTGAAAACGGGTTTCAACAGCTGGGCTGCGCTTATAACACGTGCGCAGTGAAGTAGGTTCGCGCAGCTTGGAAGCGGTTGTCCGGTGAATACTCGGTGAAGGCTTTGGTGTGAGCTATTTTTCTAATGTTTTGTTGATATCTCACAGGCGCGAGCTTTTTATATCTTATGACAGTAAATTAACTGTTTATATAATTTCATTTGTCTATTTCACCACACGTTCTTCTTACCGAGTCACTTTCTCAGTTCGATACTTAAAAGCAATGCCATTATTTAGCGTTGACAGAATTTCCAACTGTGATATAGAAATGTCGTTGTCACAGACTAAACTCAATGTCTTGTTTTATTGACACCTGTGTGTCTGCCTGCCTGTCTGCTAATGACAATATTCAATACACAGCTGCTATCAGTGACCACATGCAATTTGAACTTAACACCAATCAGGCTGTACACCATAAACAAAATGCATTGATTTATGGCCCGAGTTCGGTCTCTCTCACATTATGTAATTACACACACAGGCAGGTGTGATACTTGAACACATGACATGTTATGATGTCTGTTGATTGCAAAATGTTATACACAAAAAATGAGCATGTATTTACAAAACCCAACATCTCTATATATACACACACAATGACCTCGTGAGAGGGCATCTGCAAATGAACCAGCCGTTACACTTGAGTGCACACCCACCCGCTCTGACTGGGTTCGTTATCCCAGCTGCTTCGTTTCTTGGGAAGTAAACCGAAGTACATAATATTGCACTTTTGATTTGCGATTGTACGCTTATAATTTTGTTTATATGTTTTTTTCATAACCAGCAATGTATATTATATGTCATGAATAAGTGATAATTGTGTTTTAATTATGTTTGATTTTTTGGTTGCATGTGACCTTTAAATGACCATTGAAACTCTGGTGAAAATGAAGTGTGCACCCTCCCTTTTCTCAATAGTGTGTACCCCCCTTTCTCAAAAAGCTGTATCCGCCCCTGATAGGTGTAGACCATAGGCTCCCACTGCGGGTCAGAAAATCGATAAACTAGGCCCCGGTTTAGTATCCACACACCCTACTATACCCGCAGTGGGGGCCTATGGTGTAGACACCTGCATGCTGTGGCTCACATAGAAATACAGGCTTCTCCCATTCTCGCGGTATTACCAGGAATTAACGTTATTGAGTGTATGTAAGAGCAATCCTGCCGGAAAGGGCGGGAAAAAGTAATGATATGTCAAAGTTGGTATAAACTCCCCAGTATTCGTGACACTGCAAGATTTTGATCACGCACAGACTTGGGCCACTTCCTAGTTACCAGTCGGTGATGTAAACAACCGCTAAGTGTCGCGCATCGGCGATTTCGGCAGAAAACGTGTTAACCGCGAGAATAGGAAACCCGCGAGAATAGGAGACGCACCTATACTGCCCAACTCCTTATAGATTTAGATTAGGTAAATACCAATATACAATAAAAGTAAATAACACCACTTGGGCCAATAAAGCTATTGGGTGTGTTGGGAAATATGATCTCCGTTGACAAGCGTGCCACCATGCAAATATTGCTCGAACGACAGCAGAGGGCGTTGATTCCAAGGGAGGCTACTCTTGTACAGATCAGGGGGCGATGTAACGAAGCGTTTGTAAAATATAAACAATAGTTTACTCAAAAACTATTTTGATGTTCAAAATATAACGTCGACGGTTTCACCTTCATTCGTTTGCAATACAAAGATAATAACAACGATAACTGAGGGCCTGTGAACTTTAAGGAAAGACTTCCGCCCGTATCCCCCTTAAATTTCATTCTTGTCAAATCATATCACCTGAATATATACTCCTCACAAAAGGTTAAAGATCACATATACTCTTGGGGGTACAAATACATAAATCACTAAATGGCATCGTTATAAATGAAACCCCGTCATTAAAACTACTCATTTCGATCTTTAATTAAGTTAAATTGACCTTTTTGACAACAGTGCACAATTCTCACCCGCAAACGAAATTTCAACCAATCAGAGCGGCGCGTCCCTGTGACGTCATATGAGAAATAGATAAGAGGGCCGATGCAGAATTCATGTACATTTCAGGGGATAAATTATCTTGTTTACAGGTTTGTATAAACCTGAAATCGTGACAACCGTTGTGAAAAATGAAAGCTATATGTTTTCACAATCTACTGTCATTTAATTTTGTCCCCTGCTTTACCTAGTTTCCGAGTTTCAACTTGTTTTCACAGACGATTCTGTCAAAATCGCTTGGTGTCGCTAGGCCTTGTTTGTTCGAGCCAGACGCTAGTGATAGTGAAAACAATGATCAGCCTCGCTCATCACGGTTACGGTTAATTTCTTCAACCTAAACAGTGCAACATTAAGAAGGGTGGATGCCCATCAAATGCAATTATTTGAAAGTATCCCTGGTAGTTCTTGTCTGATTGTAATAAAGTATCAAAGTAGTGTGGGCTTTTTCAGGTGTTCTAATGCCTGGATGGTATAATGACTGTTCCAAATTGATCCCATTTCTGTGTTTTTTTAACCTCGGTATTTAATCATGTCATGTAAAAATATGATGTCTATTACGTATGATATTAAAAATTGACATTTGATTTATTTGAATCCGTAAACTAAATAACCCTACTTTACCATTGGTGGAAGAATCTGAAAATTTACTTAGGTAAATAGGTACATACAGTTTTAGCACATAGCAAATGCTTATATGTACATGTATTTCTTATGGAACAATGAAGTTCTGTTGCATTCTCGAAACAGTGTCGGCCAATAAGTTTTCACATGCAATTAAAATTGCATGCAATACAGCAATTAATACTCCCTTGTTGTAACCCGTGTTAGGTGGTATAAACCTACACATGTTACTTGTCATCATTCACTTGATGGTCAGTTAATGAATTTATAACAGGTATAATTCGCGGTAACACCACTTAGATTACCCGACAAAGGTTCCCATTTGGCATTTCTTGTGTCTGGAGTAAATACTCAACATTATAAACATCGATCAAAGGATTAACCGATAACACGCTGATTGATTAATTACTTTTATCTTACACAGCGGATTTGCCAAAAGGTAGTGTTTATGTATGTAAATTTACTAATCTATACTGAATACACTCTGTCGAGTCTGTGTCTGCGTAAAAACGTTCTTCTTTCAAAGGATTAACCGCCAATCCATTGATTGCTTGCTCATTATTGGCTAACGAAATTACTTTTTTTTTTTAAAGAATGGTGGACATTATGCAATTAGTTGCCAGGTGTGCTATCTTGGGTGACCAATGTGACATACCTGAAACGATATATTACTTTTTCGTATATTAGACTGTTAAAAGACACATCAATTGGAACAGCTGTAGATGAATGAAATATCACTCGTTTTTGTGGAAATTGATGGATACATTCCTCGAACAAGGTAATAGCCTGACATTGTTCCTATAACTTTAATCTGTTTAATTTTTAATATTTGCATTTTGTTTTTATTCATTTGTCACAGCATTCAACAGAATCATTGTTTTCAAGTGTAATGAGACAGACAACATACACTAGGGCGTGTGTGTGAATTATGATTCACATTGGCAAACTATAAAATGTCTAGATATTACAGTCCTGTTAAAAATTCACTATAAGTATCAGCAGATCGTCTGCTTTTTATTTAGTTTCAAAATGCATACAAGTATTTTAATAAACTAATTAGGATTATAAGACCAAATATAAAGACGTACATTGACTAGTATCTACATACTGGTGAGTGGACGTTAACCACGTGAATGTAGCAAGAAATTTATCGCGCAGTATTGTCACTTTGACCCCCACCTTGCTTCCGTGGAAGAAATCGTTATGTTATAAGTTGTGTCATGCAAAATCCTTTTGGTCATGATTCAAATACATATTTCACTGCGAGTAGAAAATAGTTTTGATTTTCTAACTTGATGAATACAAACCATAATCTCATTAACTCTAACAGACTTTAGCCCGTAACTTTATGATTTTCAAAAATGGCGGTGCCCTGTCGGGAACATCCGCCAGTCTGAGGATAAATGCTATTTAGGTTTGTTTTCACCGAGTTACAAAATCAAAAATACTTTCTACTGGTGGTAAAATATGTATTTGATTGATGGCCAATAGGATTTTGCATGACATAGCTTATAACATAACAACATAACAATTTCTCTCGTGGAAGTGTGGTGGGTGTCAATATAATACTACTTACAGTATTATTGTTACTTCGACCACAACCTCGCTTCTGAGGAAGAAATCGTTATGTTACAAGTTGTGTCATGGACAATCTTTATGGCCATCAATCATATACAGTGGAAACCTGATAAGTAAAATTCCAAGGGACTCGCCAAAATTGTTTACTTATCAGGTATTTTACTTATCCAAACCTATAAAAATCTGCAAATGACAACCATATGCATGTATATATGTATGCATATGTAACAATGAACCACTTATCAGGGCTGGCCTCCAGTTGTCAGTGTATTGTCAACTGCTTGACGCCAGCGAGCTGTAAGTAGGATGTTTGTTTAACTGGAGACTGACACGTGCCCCTCATGTCGGATTATGTGGTGAT